AATTAGGTAAAGCTAAGAAGTGTTGCAATTTTAAGAGTCAGATTACGTATTGAGAAATGATTAGGAAATGCAAGGAAAATCATGGATAATGGTACTATATGTAGGTAATGTAAATCAGGATCTGTAGTTACTCATCATCCTCATTGTATTAAGATCTGCTCTATTGTATGATCCGTGGCCAGGAAGATGAAGAATGATGAAATTACATCAGATCAAAATATGAATGTCTACTTATCAATGGACAGCTGTTCGTATAAGATTTTTAACAGAATCTGACCGTTTGATCCAAACTCAAACCAGGCAGACTTTATTAAAATTCATTTCGCAGTTGTTGAATTCATCAGTCTACTTCGCCTGTTAAAACCACTTTGAATTTTGCAGGTGAGTTGCATCATTTACTTATCCATTTCATGTTGCATGTCCAGAGCTCGACAAGTTAAGGTCTTCCGTTGCAGTGAAACCCGTGGCATCAAGTATATTTTAAAAGCTCATGCATACCCTCCTAATAGAATAACAACGTTTTCATCTTGCAGGTTTAATACGCAAGCATTTAATCATGAATCAAAAGTAGGGGTAAGGACCATTGAGACCATTCACCTCTTACATAGCCTAGGGAGGGAGCATTGTCAAGGAAATTTTTGGAGGGAGGGGGGTGGGGAGCAAATTCCTTATACATCTTTTATAGGTATAAAATATATATTTATACCTATAATATAGGTAGATTATAGGTATAAAATAGGTATATCTTACTCTATAGTATAAAATATATTTATAATATAAGTATGAAAAAATCTATAAAATATGTATATTATGAGTATAATATATGGGAGTTGTGCTACTAGGGTAAGCGAGCACAAAATTGAGTAAGTAGACTTTAGGGATGAGCAAGTTTTCAAAGCAGTTACTTGCATAGAAGGCAACATCTTTTTTAATAATCATGGTTTCCTCCCAAGGAATAGAGGCCTGGAAAAAAAAAAATACTGTAAATACCCGCACCAACTTGGAGACCTCTCACATCCAACACTAGCCGCTTCCTAATTTAAAAAAGTCCGAAATGAAGAATTAACTACAAAGAAAAGTAAATGAACGGATTTTTCCCGTGCATTTCTTGGGAAAACATTAAGATTGCACGGGTCCGACCGAGATTCCACTGGGCCATGAGAGGAGGACGGCTAAACCCGCGCCAGCGATGTCGCTCCGCGGCCTCTCTTGGTTGCCCGTGGGAGCGGTCTCGGGAGGCGTGCTGGACACTCTCTCGAACCGGCTAAAGTCGCGGAACTACGAGCAGGTAGAGTCCCTCTCTCGCGCGCGTCGGAGAGACCTGATTTTTCTCCACGCCACACGCAGGATGCGGGTTGGTTCCCAATCTTGCTAACTGGGGAATGCCAGGATGTTCTGTTTCAGCATCTTTCAGCTCTCGCCTCAATAGATTTAACGGTTTTTCTCCTAAATTTTCAGTTGCTTTGCGTTTTAACGTGGCTCTAATTATTTGTCGCTGAATTTCATTTTCTTTGTCTTCGTGGCTGTGGCTGTCTTCCTTCACCGATACAATTTTTTCCATCTTGGCGTCCGTCATAAAACCTGCTGAACATGATGATGCAGCGCCATACTGCACTCTCTGCACAGTCGTTAAAATGTCAAAAGAAGCACGAAATATCACAGTAGTTATTAATCGTATGAGCGAATCAGAGTCGTTAAAATGTTAAAAGAATCACAGTAGTTATTAATCGTATGAGCGATTCTTCTTCCGTGTACCGACGATAAAATCGAACTGAATGGCAACTTGTTTACTACATCCAAAGTGATGTTCATACCTACAAATGATAATAGACAGCCGCGGTCACCTCAGGACAAAGTTCAACCCAACATTTGAGATCAGTTTACGATTACATTTCAGTTCGTACCATTCATTCCTCTAATCGCACCGATGTCAGCTTTCGTGCCAAATTGGGCATTTTTTCTGAAACTTTCTGTGAGCTTACTGATATTGGTCTTTTGCCGAATCGGTCCGTTTTCCCCCTCGATGTGCTGAAATAATTTTGCCGAAATTTCTACTTTCTTTTTTGCCGAAATGGGTTGCGCCCCATTTGATCGTGGGAAACGGGCATATCCCACTGCAGCGTCCTATACTGCCGTGCTAAGGAAGAACAACCAGGGTTGAAATGTGTCCTAAAGCCTCCTTGATAATATATCAAAAGCTCGTTTTAGTTAGACGATGCGCTCGGTGGTAAAAAAGCCTCGGAGTGATAGAAAAACACGAATTTTCGCTAAAATACGCCTGCAGACCTATGTTTAGGCAACCGTTTAACACGTATGCAGTGGCCTATGGGCTAAATCATGATTATTTCCGTAAACTACAATGAGTCAACTCGGAAACGCCGCATAAATTTCAAGATTTAACTTGATGTTATGCTCTTAGTGAAAATATGCCTCCACTACTCCGAAATCCGCTATCTTCATAGCTGTTTGTATGGAAAATTCAATTTTTTTTTTGGAACTTAATTGGAGGAAATCTCCTTGTAAGAGTCTAACAAAGCTTGGTAACTACCCTCGATAATATACTTAGCGTGCATACAGTTCGAGAGACGTGTTTCCCTAGGATTTTTGGGGATGTCCCTTAGACGTCGATTTTTGTAAAAAGTTTTTTTTAACTATGAGCGCATCTTCTAACTAAAACCAAGCCAGGGTTAAAATGTGTCCTAAAGCCTTCTTAATAACACATCAAAAGCTCGTTTTAGTTAGACGATGCGCTCGGTGTCAAAAAAGGCTCGGAGTGATAGAAAAACACGAATTTTCGCTAAAATACGCCTGCAAACCTGTGTTTAGGCAACCGTTTAACACGCATGCAGTGGCCTATGGGCTAAATCATGATTATTTCCGTAAACTACATTGAGTCAACTTGGAAAACCCGCATAAATTTCCAAATTCTAGGAGGGGGCCAAAAAAGGCCCTTATCGATACCCCTCCTTTCCTTTGGTAACAGTTAATTTTAGCAACTTTAAATAAAACAATTGTTTGCATTAATACTTGAAAACTGTTGTCATAATATTGATTAAAACAAAATATTTTTGAAATTGTTTACAATTATGAATGGATTTATTTAGCACTTAGGAAAACTAGTCAACTAATTATGGGTTTGGATTAATTTAGAAAAGAAGCTCTCAACGTGCGTCACGCAACCTCCGGAAAAAGAATGTCCTTCCCCCAAAAATGGCCGGTCCTCCTCTCTCCTAATGATGGTCGATTGTGGCGCTGTGCGCGGAGAGATTTGGAAGTGTGAAATTTGAAAAAGAATCGGGAAGTAATTGGAGGTGCTAACAGGGTTGTTAACTTTTTCTTTTAATTTTGATGCTCTTGACTTTCTTGAGCAACCCAATAATTGTTTTAGAAATGAAAACTTTTGAACGATTGTTCTATTGAGGAAACACTCTAAAAAAAAGGGGTCTTCCCTGGTGTTCGTTTCTCTATTAATCTCTCCCTTCCCAGGATTTTTCAAACACCTATTTTTAAAGTGAGCTTCAAATGGTTTATTTTTTCAAGAACTTTGATGCTTTGCGTTTGCAATAATCCTAGACACTCGAATTACTTTAAAGAAGAAAATTAAACGGTTAGTGGTTTGTCATCGGTAGTAGTTGAAATTTAAACTGGGAAAAATTCTTGAAGAAAGAACAAACTCCCACCACTTTGATAATAGATAGATACCTGAACAATTTTGACAAAAAAGAAAAAGGCATTTGGTACCAGGGCTCTAAATCTTGTGAATGAATCATAACTTTGAAGAAAAAAAACCGAAAATTATTTTTCACGAGGTTTTATTTAGAAAATAACTAGAACTCAAAAATTACAAATGAAAGGAGGAGGAAAATACACGGAAAACTTTACTTCGCGTGAAAACCATGAATCAACAGACAATGAAAAGAGATTAGAGGTTAGAAGAAAACGAGATGGCGGCCAGATAAAATCAAGTTTGTCAGACACGGAACAAAAAAAAAAAAAAAAAAACTGAGCCACGCGGGAGAGCGAACAAAGTTTATTAGAAATTAGATCGCGCTATTCAAATATTCTGCTTTCTTAGGCTGCTACACATTCATGATCCTTTCTTTCCTTTCTTTTTTTTGCTAATTTTTTGGGGGGTCAATTGGTCATTGAAACTCACAAATCGTGCGAACCGAGATCAGACGCGGACGGTTGGGTTGGCGATATGCGGACTATAGTTTCACGACTACGCCGGCAGAGCGAGTTAGACTGGCTGGGGGGAAGGGCATTCCAATTTGCGTTGCTTGTTGCGTTGGCGACCAAATGCGGCTGCATAATTTAACTCTTGAATGCATCGCGAGATATGCCACTTCATCGCAATTTATATTGCGTTCAAAACCGAAAAAAGAAAGATTCTAAGCGACTCGTGAAAATTGTCAATTTTTCCCTGACTTTTAGCTGTTTTTGGTCAAACTCCCTGACTTTTCCAGGTTTTCCCTGACCGTGGCAATCCTGGTCCCCTAAATTTGCGTAAATTCTCGGCATTTTGAAACCGTTGATTTCATTCGACGATCTTTCTCTACATTGCCTGTGGAAAATCTTATAAATTCTTTTTTAAACAAGTTCTTACGCTAAATTTTCCGTTTACATTTTTGAAGTTAAGATTTCATAAGTGAGTAAGTCAAGTAATTAGAAAAGCTAGCCTCGTAATGAAAAAAATAATTTGATGAATGCGGAATAGTCTCCTCAAGATAAAAAGTGAAAAAAGGGAGAAAAACAAAAGTTGCAAGGGGAAAGAAAGGATTTTATTTTTTACTAAAATCAGAACTCCGCCTGTACTGTCTTCTATAGGGAGTGCTGCCGGTCCCAAGCCCGGGCTAAGGAGGAGGGTTCGGCGGTGAGGCTAGCAACCTGCCGCCGGTAAAAACACACAATCTGCTCAAAGAAGCAAAAAGAAGCCTCGGTACCAGACTTTAACGGATTTACGACCCAAAGATTTACGGAAAACGGATAAACGGATTAAAATGGCTCAACGATTGAGAATCGCTACATCGAACGTGAAATCATGGAATAAGAAGGACCAAGAAATCGTCTCGGAAATAGAAGAAAGAAAAATCGATGTCTGTGCTCTGAGCGAAACAAAAAGAAAAGGCGCTGGCACTGTGATGCGCGGAAATTACCTGCTTCTGTATAAAGGCGCAAAGAAGAACGAAAGAGCATATGCCGGTGTTGGAATATTAATTCATAAAAATCTCGTTGACAACATCACTGATATCAAATACATAAGCGAAAGGATGCTCCTTGTAGAGCTTAATCTAGGCTGTGAGAAGCTGAACTTGATATCTGTTTATGCACCGGACACAGGAAGAGCGAAGCAGGAACGAGACGACTTCTACCGCGATTTACAAAAAGTCATAGATACTATACCGGTGCGCGAGAAATTAATCATGTTAGGTGACTGGAATGCTCGGGTTGGAGACAACGTGGTGCCTGGAGTGAAGAACAGATTTAACGAGCCTACTCTGAATGACAGCGGTAGAGAATTAGTAGAATTTTGCTCCGTTAACGAATTAAGAATAAACAATACGTTCTTTGATCATCCTAGACAACATAAGATCACCTACACCAATAGTAGAGGTCAGACGTCCATGATTGACTATGTTATCAGCAATCGGCAGCTGCATCCTTAGCAAGTACTGGATGTTCGAACTTTATCATCTGCAAATGCCGGCACAGATCACGGACTCGTCTTATGCGAACTGCGATTGAGTCTGAATCCAGTAAAGAGGCGTCCAGTAATAGTGCAGAAATTGTGTGCTGAGAAGCTGTCTATAAGAGGACTTTACCGATCGAGATTACGCGGTCCACCCAGTGATTCTTCGACAACTGATGAACTATGGCAACATATCAAGTCAAAAGTGCTAGAAGCAGCGGAAGAAGCCGTTGGTTGGCGGAAAGTGAACAAGAATCGCATGAATAACCGAACACCGTGGTTTTGCGACGAGGTCAAGGAAGCGGCGAAGATAAAGAAAGAAGCTTTCCTCAAATACAAATCCAATTCAACCCCTCGAGAACACGAGATATACGCAAGAATCCGCAACGCGACCAATGAAAAAATAACGAAAATCAAAGAGAATTACTGGGAAGGATATACGAAAGGCATGCAGCGTGACTTTTATGGAGCTCAGAGGAAAATGTGGGGTGCACTCCGAAACCAGCGAAAAGAAATTTGTGAATATAAGCGTGTCCAGCATGTAGATAAGGAGCAATGGTTTAAATATTTCTCTGAACTGTATGATGAAAGCAATACAGACTCCAATGGAAATTTAGAATTCAGAAATGAAGATAGTGTGAACATAACCTTGGACATGGTAACAAGAGCTATCCACAGTAGGGTGAAAATGGCGACTTTAGCGCAGTAAATTATCCAACAGCGTTGCACGATTGTGCAGAAAAATAGGAATTAAATTACAGCGTTGTATAGGGATTATTGTTCAATATGGCAACGCTGTAAAAAGAAAGTATTGCATGTTGCCCCTTCAATATGCGGGTTATGCAATGGTGTAATAATGCCCCTTCATTTTTCGGGTTATGCAATGGTGTATTTTTCAAGATGGCGCAGCAGCGTTGCCGCGTGGTGCATGTAAATAAATGATTTATTTATT